CTGGGATGGACTGGTGTCCTGTCCAGGGTGTGGTGCTGTCTTGTGCTCTGGGATGGACTGGTGTCCTATCCAGGGTGTGGTGCTGTCTTGTGCTCTGCGATGGACTGGTGTCCTGTCCAGTGTGTGGTGCTGTCTTGTGCTCTGTGATGGACTGGTGTCCTGTCCAGGGTGTGTCCCCCACGACCCTGTACTGGATAAAGCCGGAGAGATGGACTGATCCGGCCATGAAGGTATTGGACCTGTGCCTCCTTCTTTATAAAACAACCAACAACAACCACATGTCTGCTGTCACTGGGACAGTCTATTCTTCTGACTAGAAGTGTATATCAAAGTAAGAAAAGCAAAACTTAAAATCTTTGGTGTGGGGCAGATTTGCAGTATCTAGGTTAACACCCAGCTTGTGACACATTTCAAACAGATACCAACCTGCCCCGGTACCAGTGGGGAGCTCTGCACCATCTGTACCAGTGCAGGGTTCCTTCAGTGTGGGCACGAGTGAAGGGATTACTCAGGTCTAGACCACAGGGCTACATTCACAGACCTGGCCAACACCTGTACACTGCTGTCACTGCTGTCACTGTATCAAACACTACACCATGAACAGCTCACAGCTCGTCGGATCTTCAACAATAAAAGCCTGGTGCATAATCTATACTGCTAGGGAAGGAGAGCAGTAAAAATAATAAGGCGAAAGTTACAGACAGTCTAATAATAAACTAATCTTGCAGATTATACAATTACTATACAAAAGAAACCAAGAGTTTTACAATACAGCAAACGCACACTACACATTAAAACGAAATGGAGGCAGTCACGAAAACCACAAAGTCAAGATAAGCAAGCAGGTACAGAAGGTGAAGCAATTATGAAAACACATTTCTAAAACGTTTTCTGCTTAGACTTAAAAGCACCCAGGATTGCTGAGTCCCCAGTTTCTTTAGGATGGGTGTTGCAGAGATGTTGAATGGAATTAAAAGGCAGGGCTGCAGCGAACAGAGAAACAATGGTACCGTTCAGCCGCTCACAAAGACTTCTTCATGTCCATCTAATTCTGGCCAGCATTCTCATTTTGGAAACATTTATCATTTTACAGTGTCTCTCAAAGTACTCTTCTGGAAAAAAAATATTTTACACGATTGTTACTCTCATTTTTCACCTAACATTTCCTGACATGTTTAAATTAAAAACATTTACAAAATGTTTCTTCTAAATGCCTCTGTTATTTGATTGCAGAAAAAGGAAGTTTCTGCTCTTATTATTCAGCACAGATGTGTCTGTCCCAGAGATTCACATTGCGATGCCTGGAAAATGAACACAGCTTAAACTCCAGCATCTGGAGCCAAAGACATTCTTCTCCAGACAAGGGCTCTCAAAACCAGTTCATGGACAAACCAGCGTCTTCTGGTTTTTGTTTCACACTGTGGGTCTATTTATTTAAGTAATGGTATAGAGATACAGTAATACAGTATGCCTAACCAGGCTCCAGGTGCACATTTAATTAAGTGAATGATTTGAATAGTTATCTGTAAAAGACCGTAAAATGATTCCATATGTGTCTAATGAAGAAAGTAATCAGGTTCGTTGTTTAATTGACTACTCATGTTGGAACAAGATCCAGAAGACACGTGCCCCAGATACAGCTCTAGTTATTACTCACTTGGAATGGAAAATACTAGAAATGATTTTTCAAAGAGAGACTTGTGTTATTCTCTGTCAGCCAAGCAGAATAAGGAATATTGGCTTTAGCACCTTGCTTGCTGCTGATGGCCACACTTGGATCACACTGTGCCTGCCTGACCAGGCAGTCTGCCCAGATTAATCGGACGTTTTTCACTCAGTTACCCAATAAAAGCTTTTAAATTGAAGAATTTTTTAGTGAACAGCGTGCTCTACCTGGAGGCTTCGGACTTTGTCAGAGACGCTGTCTTGAGCCATCGCTTGCTCTGAGCTCAGATGTTCTGGTGCTTCGGGAATGAAGATGCTGTCGTGTGAAAATGCTCGGGTCCCCATGTTGTGTGAAGACCTGCAAAGCACAGAAACAGCACTGGGTCTCCGTGTGTCCCCTCAGCTGTACAGAGTGTGGTCACTCTGTGATCCTCTCCTGACACACACACACACGTCCTGTACAGAGTGTGGTCACTCTGTGATCCTCTCCTGACACACACACACACACACACGTCCTGTACAGAGTGCGGTCACCACCACTAGTGGTGTAAAGTTAAGATCTGGCATGACAGGACCAGACTACAACAGGAGCGCTTTCTGAGAGGGGTTAATTCACAAAAGTTTATTCCTCTCTCTTAGAAGCATCGCGCATGCCTGCTCGGTTCTGAACGTCCTCTAACTCGTTTCAACAGAGGCTGAATGATCCCTCGTCCAGAAGATTAGGTCTGAGGTCAGAATGTGTTTCAAGTCCATGACAGGACAGTGTCTCCCCTGGCTTTCGTTTAGAACAGACACGTGCTCCGGGCACAGCTCAATAATAGCGTTAGAGCCCAATATTTCGCAGTCTACAAATATAACTTATTTTGGCAATGGCACACGTTTATGTTGTCAAAAGCTGTTTACAAATGTGGAGCGAACAGTTATCCGTTTTACATTTGAGTAACTTTAACCTTTGTTTGTTTATCTATTTTTTAACCAATCTAATAAAAGTCCCTCATCTCCCCCCTGGGCCCACTCTTCACCGAACACACCAGATGGGCAATGTGCCTAGTGTTTCCACAAGGAGAAGCAGACCCGCCCTGTCAGCGTCTTTTCATTACTCTTCATTTCTTCACTGCACAGGCACCGGCTGAAGTGTTGATTTTATTTTACTGCTGGATACAGAAGTGCTGTAAGGGCTTCTGTGACAGCTACTGTATCTTAGGAACCCGTTGCTAGTGAATATCAACAGATAAGTGCATTCTGAAAAGGGCCACTCCGGTTAAACCAATATGTACTGATATTCCTGAAACACCGCACGCTCTACAGGAAGCAGGTCTGAAGCCCTGTTGCCTACTGCCCGGTGTGCAGCACACAGGTCTGCTGTGTTGTTGGAAAGACTCCACAGTTTTCCACTCTCTCCCGCTCACGTTTGGAGCGCAGGGCTCCGTGGGGTAAGAACGAGTGAGCTCTTCTCCGCACTCACACTGTGCCACTGTACCATCCCCTTAGAAAGAAGACGACAAGGAGAGCTCACGGCACTCTCCGCCACACGTCATCGCGTCAGCACGGCGGGGGTCTCGAGGCGACTTCGCGAGCGCCGGGCGTGCTTGGGACCTTTCCATTTTGCCCGCTTTCCAAGGCAGGGCTTTTCCTGTTAAAGCTTCTCCCTGAAGACGTACTCCTCTCCAAGGCCCGGCTCTGCTCCTGACTTCCGCCTGCGAGACCAGAGGTCTAGCCGTGCGTGTGGACTGCTCAGGTGCCTGTGTCCCCGCCGCGTGCCGCCGGCGGCCGTGATCACGCCACCTCCAGGGAACAAGGGGGACAGCTCTGACGCCTCATCGGTGCAGATCTGCCTGGAGCCGTCCTCGGACCCTGGCTGCAGGGCAGCACCGCGGTGACGTGGCTCTGCTGTCCTTCTAACTAAACCGGCCGGAATACAGCTTTGAGGATGGACAGTGTGAAAGGAGAAATGGTTGGAAGGGTCGGAAGACCTGCCCTTCTCTGGAAAAGAGCGACATTTGAAGAAGGAGAGTTTTTATCGAAACAGGAACAGGGAACGATAAGATCGCCCTCACATTCACGGAAAAGCAACTTTGCAAAAAACTGAGAACATAGTTATATTGTTTGCCAGCAGGTCTGTGGTGATAAAAGGTGATCACCACTGATGGCCAGAGCCTGAGACAGCTAATCGCTTAGCCTTCACCCTTTCTGGTGGGGAAATTGCAGCTGTCAGAAACATACAGGATAATGGCTATGAGGTCAGGCCATTCACGGCGCAGTATGTCCTTATGCTGTACATGAACATGCAGGCTGCTGCATCATGGAGCCGGCACTGGGGAGCAATGAAATTTGCTATTCCTGTTACAGACAAGGTCCTGGGAGCAAGCTGGCTGGGAACAGTGACGGGACAGTACTGGTCACCGCCCACATGTTCATCATGGTCCCTTCAGGGTATGTACTGATCCTCATCGCCCCCGAGCGCAGGGTTTTCATCGCAGAGACCTTTGAGCAGACCAGCTGCTTTTGTGAGCAGACATCGCTCGCTGCCTCTGGAGTGAAAACATGAATCTGGCAGAAACTCTTACAGGCAAGACTAAACCACAAAAGGGCTCCAGATTTGACATTTTCTGACCACATTCTCTTGTGACGGTTTCATGAAAAAAGACTGACACAGAATCTGAACTTCTTCTTCTTCTTTCTCACAGCCTCAGTCCCAGACTGTCCTGGGGTCAGCTGCTTTGGTTGCTCTTCTCCACTTGTCTCTGTCGAGCACATCTTCCTCACTCACTTCACACACCTCCATATCTTTTCTCACACAGAATCTGAACAAATACTAATTTCCTTTTACTTGTTTTTGTTGAAACTGGCCAGATGTACTCTGTTAGGAGAGGGTTCAAAATATTAAGCAGGGAAAAGTGAACCCATCAATGCGTATAGAATAAACACACATTGCTGAAGACAGAACCTCTAAAAACACTCCTCGACACTGATGTAGCAGAGTGAGCTGTGCTGTAAACCTCCTGGAGGTGGTGTTGTCCAGTCCGGCACTGCGGACACCTCGCAGGTCGGGTTCAGCTCACTAGAAGGTTCGGCTGATTCTGACTGGTGACATCAGACCCCCTCCAGCACTGTCCCCTGTCCATGCCCGAGTCCCACCCAGCTCCACACACCACCACATGCAACACAGGCTGCTCACCGGCCGCACCAAGGCAGGCAGGAGCATCACACGTGCGCTGCAAGACCAGTTAACATTCTGGGGACATTTTACCTCAAATGCTCGTTGGTTTCCTCATCGTCTGACAGCCTCCCATTGGCGACGTCCTCGGTGGACCGGCTGCCTTTCAGCTCAGCTGCCACGAAGGCTTTCTCCGAGTCCTTCTTCTTCCTCCTGCCGAAGAGCCTCCTGAAGGGCTGGAACTTGCGCTGCTGTTTCCTGTCTGCTGACCACAAACGACAACACGGCAACAGAGCTCAGCTTATCTGAGCGGTACGCCTCCAGGGCGGTTTGAGTATGGAAAAACTGCATGCAGAAGGAAGCCCGCGGTCAAGGAGCAATCACGAGACGCAGGAATCTGCGTGTTTGCACTGAGAAGGCTCTCAGCTGGAGTCTGAGCCCATCCCAGGCTCAGGAGGAGAGACAAGCCCCAGGCCCCGGGCTCCCTGGGTGTGAGCCAGGGCAGAAAGCCTGGAGCAAAACAGCTTCTGTGATGCGTTTCAGAAAATACTGACTGCAACGAATTCAAACCCGAATCGTTCGAAATATAAATGACTCGCCTTAATAAAATGGAACCTTCTGTTATTTATGAACAAGTACTGGACACTTGTGACTTTTCCGAGGAACTTCAATGTAAAAAGATCAATGTTTTAAACGGTCATAAATTTGAAGCTTCTTTCACAGTTTTATAACAAACACATTTATATATATAATGTATCATTTAAGTGATTTTAAGTTTCTTTAATACCAATACCTGATACAAGTATTGTAATTCCTCAAGTGCAGAGATAACGTCAATCAAACCAGCGTGATTTTTCAGAACGAAGAGTGAAACATGACCCAGAGGGCACGAGAGGAAACTGTGTGGAAGAGCAGCTCTTTATCCACAAGGTTGCGGCAGGGTGGAGATGGAACAAGCTGCCAGCAAAGATGTTGAAGCCGATACCCTGCTGACACTCGGGTTCCTTTCAAGAAACAACTAGATGAAATTCTGGGGTCAATTAATAACTACGTACCACATGAGCTGGACCGGCCGAATGACTTCTCTCGTTTGTAGCCTCTATGTTCTTGATACCAGAAGGTTAAGGAATTACATTGTCGCAGGCAGATATAGGCGATTAAAGATACCATATTTCTAAGCAGTGTTGAAAACCACAGTTTTTCTTCATCTGTCATCTAGAGCTGCAGAGGGCTGATGTGAGCAGGAGCACACAACTGCTGTCCTCTACTTCTTCTTAATTGATTAAATATTTTCTATAAAACTAAAATGTATCTTTTGCTTTGGATGCAAATGCAAATGGTATTCAAATTTCTGAGTATTTAAACCATTATCTTTTTACCCTAAATTGTCATATTTCCTTTCCACACAATATTCACTATACTGTTTGTAGTGAATAACAGACAAATTGCTCCTAATTTAAGTCAAAATTGATCAATTTGTTTAAAGTTAAAGACCAGTAAGTCAATCCTTTTGGCAATGCACATAACAGACTAATTACAAACAGTTCATATTGTGAATAAAATCAAGCCTGTACTAACATATACAGTAGTAACTGTATTTTAATCCTTAAATATTATTCCCGCAAACAGTTTTGAGGAAAATGTAATCACAGGATCTTTACATAATGCTTTAGAACAAGTACTTCAATGCAGGGTTAAGCTCACAAAAGTTGGCAGGGAATGTCTTCATAAAAACAACAACCCTTAAGTGCTAAAACACAGACCTTGGACACAGGCCCTAGAGAAGTACACAGGCTTACAGCCACTGGGTGTGAGCCAGCAGTTCACACGCTGTTCACACCCAAGTGTTTCAAACATACAGTATGGTGCACAGGACCATTTTACCAATGATGCAGAAGGTTAAGAAGGGGCCTATCATGACTTCTGGAGACAAACTCTCTGTAGAGGTAGAAAGGTTTTTAGTGCAAATATAACTCAAGTGCAGGAAGAATATATTCACTTAATGCTGCACAGTAGTTCTACTTGGGGTGCATTCAACTATGTAACAGTATTCGCTGGGCTCTCTTTCAGCACAGAGCACTGTAGAGCATGAGCCCAAACCATCAGGAGCTCACTGAGCACGTCTGAGATCGCACAGGGCTAATAGGTCAGCTGAGTCAGCACCCACGTTCACAACAAAGGCTTTTATAGACAGTAACTCTTGTCTGAAACGCTCACATGCCCAGTGCCTAATGGAACACCCGAAGGCAGTGTTACTCAAGACCACTTTGCAGATAGTGCACTGAAACTGCAGGCATTGTGAAACTCTGGGCGGTTTGTCCATCCAAACCCTTCAAGCTACTCAGTTACTCAAGGAGATTTTTAATTTGTACACATCGGCAATTCCAAACGTGGTACTCTTCCAGCAACAGGAGACTCCGGTCCCAGTGGTAATTAATGGTAAGGTCCCAATAGTAATGGTAAGCTTGTTCCGTGTACAGTCATCACAGGCACATTCCTGGCTAGAGGACAGTTCTGAACTAATACGATGGACAGAATCGTGACATCTGACCTGCTTGTGTCTGGTGTATACGACCACCCTTCACTCCGGCACGGCCGAGTGAGTCATCTGAGCTAGAGTTTTTCTAACCCAGAGAGGATAGGGACACCTCTCCTTTCCTCTGGCCTCTTTCCACACGTTTCTGTGTTTCTGTGTTTCAGTATCTCAGGCTGACGAGTAAAGAAGTACATTCACTACTGTGCTGTGGAGATAAATTAAGAGAGGGCATGCTTTAATCATATTAGAATTACAACAGCTGAGAAACTGCAGGTTCGCTGGAGATGTAAGCCTGTATAAACTGTACAGGAAAGCAGAACGTTGTGCAGGTGGTGTCAGTGCACTCAAGCACAAGTGAAACAGGCTACAGGTGTAGGTGGCATGTTTTTCCCATCCTACTGGTGTGTTTCAAAATCAGCTGTGACAGGCATCTGAGAGAATCCGCCTGCCTGCGAGAGAGCCCTTTTTTCTAACTTCGTTAAAGACGTGAAGATTATCTAGCCGGTAGACAGTTGACTTAATCCCAAAATGTTTAAACACAGAGATCAGTACCAGGTGTCACAAAAGTGAAATGAGTCCGGAATGCGAATAGTAATATGCTGGGATAGAAATATGAAAATATTTACTGTACTAAATTTCTGTTATTATAGTTTATTTTATAGTATGTTATAT